AAAGTGGGAGTGTCTTTAAAAAGTGGGCGTGTCCGTTGATAAGGAGGCGTGGTCAAAGGTAGGTTAATAACGGACAAAACGTAATACGTGACACCGTTTAAATGAAAAAAAGAGGTCACATTTGTCTAATTGGCTTGTATTGGATTAGCTCTCCAAGTGGGAGGTAAAAAAAGCTGGTTGACCACGGGATACCCCCTGGGGGCAAAAGGAGGGGTCATTCTGACCTGGAAGGGTCAGCGGTCAACCAGGGAAGAACAATTAAGTTTGGCATGCACAGATTTTGGATCCATAAATAAAGTATGCTTTTTTTGTTTGAATCGCTTTCGTCTGAAGAACGTTACGTAAAAGTTTAATGAAATTTAATTTGGCTACTATGTGCTTTTTTTCTCTCCATATCTGCCCGTAAAAATAATAATTCGGATTGCAAAATTGAAATAATTAACCATGTGCCGAGTTTCTAGTGCACAGTTTCTTGACCTCATTGGTCACCGTTTTTGTTTTTTATAAAACAAAAAATTGCTACTTTCCTCGTCACAGGCATACACGCACACGTATCGCGCGCAATCGCATTCTGTCGAATTCGAATGCTAAATAAGCCAACAAAAATAATAAATAACAAACGAAATAACCTTGAGATAATCAAAATAATAAATTTGTTGTACTTTCTGTCCACCATTCAATTAAAATTCAAACCCCAGTAAAAGAAGATTAAACAACCTATTGTTCCCTTATATTAATGGATTAATAGATTCTTTGTATGTTCACCATTTGTGCAGTGGATAGTAATTCCATTTTAGCCGTTGGGGATATTACCTGGCTATCTAAAAAGAAAAGGTAATATTCCAGGCAACTTATGTGTACTGTTCTTTTTTTTCAACGGCATGATTAAATGTCCCATATACACTGAATTTGCCATGTACTGTATTCCTCATGCTGCGTTCTGAATTAAAGATTGCAGAATTACCAGTTTTCAGGTGCCCATAAAATCGCATAAAACGGTATATACATCGGGGCTAAAGAACTAAGGAATTGCAACCTAAAGATACAAAATAACAGTAGCTTAGTTAGCGTCGAGGTTAATTAATCACTAATGTTAAATATTGTACCCCGGGCTCTTTGAAGTCACCACTTTCCTTAACGATTGGGTAAACTGGGCCTTATGTGATGAGGAGCTCCCGCCCCCCTGAGGTGGTCTGGGTTGACTCCCGGGGTGGCAAAGTTATGCAAGTAATTAAGGAGAAACATTGTGAACCGGCACCGTGGTCTTGCTCCGTGTATTGTCAGCACATAACCTTGGTCAATTTGCGGCATTTACTAACAATTACCGGTCTTATTCTGTCAATTGCTTTATCAATGAAGTCGGGCATTGATCGGTCTAAGGGGGTGCTGGCTGCAGGATACGGCTATATACACTCGCTGAGAAGGTATTCAAGATACGCTGCAAGGGCCCCGATGGAAACATGTAATGACAGGGCGAGGTATTGTGGATAGTTGCGACAGTTATCCAGCTTCCACGGCCGCGTGGATAACTGGGCTTTCCCGATAACGGTGGAACCAATGGCTACGATATGGCAATAGTTCATTTTATCCGTTGAATCAATGTAGGAAGAATACTTGGTGGTAGCGGCTTTGATTTTGCGGTTTCTGCTTCAGATCACAAATCATCTGATCCAAGGTAAGCGTAAGGAGATACACTCTGTATCGGGAAGGGCCACTCAATGAATCAAAAATGGCTAAACACGTCACACAAAGGAAGATGAGGCTTATATTTGTAAACCCTTTGTTGTCTGCTTCTCCGTCTGTTCAATTGCTGTTCAAGCCGACGATCGCTATCTTTGCCCCCCGCCCTTTAATATCAAACCCTCAAGTACTTCCATATTTTGCTCTGTTCTTATTTTCATCTCTCTCTCTCTCTCTCTCTCTCCCTCTCTCTCTCTCTCTCTCTCTCTCTCTCTCTCTTTTGCATATATTAGTATCGTTACCAAAATGTCTAATTCTAAGGTTTGTTGCTCTCATCGGCATGTCCTGCTTGATGACGACTTTGTTTTCGACGAAATAGACCATACACAATCTGTTTACCAACAATCTGATCTAATGAAAAATTTCCATTTTAAGCGTCACTATAAACATCTCTACACAGTTACTATGACCATTGATTTCCATCACTAGTTGTTTAACCATAAACGCACGTCACAATCTCCCACGGCGTTTTTCATGTGAGGCGAAAAACGTCGATTTTATCGTACCTTACCGATGCTGTGTACTTGTACGGGTTTGAAACACAATTTCACTGGCTTTCATGTTTGTTGTTTACAATAGTTTAGAACTGTCTTGGTTTCAAGTACAAAAACGTGTGTTTTGAAGCCATTTCATCGATTTAACTTCAAAGAGAACCGCACAGTGGACCACACTTACGCATCAACAATCTTAAAAAGTTGTATCCCTCTTGTTATAGACCAAAAAAAGACTCACATGCATAGCCTAATAATACGTCTTTAGCGTTGGTAACTCTTACTTCAAAGAAGCATTATACCAATCACGAAGTCAGCATCATATAATCTATATCAAAGTAAGCTTTGACCAGATTCTGGGCACTTGCTGTCGTCCAAAATAAAGGCCCTAAATCCCAGGGATACCTCTGATGGTTCCAGCAAGAGCATATAGCCCCGAAAGTATACTGAGGCCAATGGCATAGGTCATCGGGTTAAATGTATCAAAGCGTTGCTTCGTATGATATAAGATTGAACCTTTTTTATCATTTTCAAAAATCATTATTTACGATTTGGAAAAACCTAAGGAGGCAATGCCGCGAAGCGTATTCTTAATGATAAAAGATACTCAGATGAAGACCAAAGAACGCTGAAGAGATAAAGGTGCAGATGATGGAGATTATTACAATTATGATGGTGATGCAGTTGTTGCTTTTCGAAGCGGTTACAGAAGCTGTATAAGTGATTTTGCTAGTGTCGATAGTTAATTTGGCGTCGTTATTTGTTATATAACCTGTACTCCAACCACAAGTTGCATGCAATAATATTAAAATTGGCGTAGATGTGTAGTCGATGACTGTGATGTGAAAGTGCGGAAAGGGGTGACTTTGGTCAAAATCTGTAAAAGCAGTACCGCTGGACCCAGTTTCATCAACACTGGAAAGCGCTATCCTCTGGATAACACTATCCTTTGGATGAAATTGTTATCCTCTGGGCAATTATCCTGTGGGTAAAGTGATGTTTACTAAACCAGTGGTTAAAAAAAGCTGCTTTCCTAAGGATAATTGCCCAGAGGATAACAGTTTAATTCAAAGGATAGTTATCCATAGTTGATGAAACTGGGCCCTGTATTTTATGACAGCTATTCTGTCATGATGACACTTTGGACGTGCCACAACGTATGACACTGTCATGCCCGTCGATGTGTTGGAGGAGGTGACAAAGACGATAACGACAAGGGTGACATGTGATGATTGTGGTTGCGGTGACAAGAGATTCGGGGGCAATTCTGGTCATGGTGCCGTGGCAAGTTATCCTGTACATGTAGTGATGACGGTGGTGGTGGTGATGATGGTGTTTGTGGTGATGTAGAGCGAATGGTAGCAGTGTTTAGGATGCCAGTGGGTGCGACGGGGATGTGCCCAAATCATCACGACCCTAGGCTGCTTAACTATACCATCAATAAATTTCAAGTACTTCTTCAAAGTCACCCTGAGTTAAAAAGACTACTGGGAAAGAACCACCATCATCAACATGCCTCTGTCGTTTCCAGAAACGGGGATAAGTGTAAAATAAGCTTTGGAACCCAGGGTAAGCATGCCATAAACGTTGTCTTATTTGACTATATTCCGGATGTAAGACCCCATTCCCAAAGAAACCGTCGGTCTACGTAGATCGATCCATCACTACGGGGACTTCAGCTGAGTGCAACCAGCTTAACTGGAGGGGGCGTGTCATTCAGTTAAGCTGATTGCACTCAGCGAAAGTCACCGCAGAGGCGGATCGATCTACGTAGACCGATTGTGGTTATGTGAATGGGGCCTAAAAGTCCACGTGAACATGAACGGGGTGACACTGAACCTAAGGATATTTTAATGGGGCGGGTAACCTGTCCAAACAACGTTTCAACATTCACTTTCTACTAACTGTTTTCTCCTCGGACCGAAGATATTCAGAATAATTAAAGGACCCAGGTGTCTGCACTTGAGCCTTTGGCAGACCACTCTTGTACATCACACTTGTCGTCTGAGCATATGTAGGCCGAGGCTGTCACTTCAGCCAACACAAAAACGCTTGCCCGCCCCCATGGCAACGTACCGGTACGTTAAGGAAACGCACCGACTCTGGGTCATATTTGGAAACGAGATCAGCCAGCCGTGAAGTGTCACCGTCCTCGTTTGAATCATATGTGGCATTATTCAAGATGTGTCCTTTTTTCCATTCATATGATGATGGACTATAACTAACTATGAAGTGGACAAGTGGACCACCACTTGTCGCCAAGGTCAACCGTACCGGTCAGTTACACAGTTTTGATTAAATACTTAATGACGTTGTGCCTTAAACGTGAATCTAAAGGACTAACCGTGTTAAGCGATAAACGATGATCGAATACTCACAACTTGCACGTATTACAACCACAAAATAATCTGTTGTCCTCAGCATGACATGACATGACAATTTTAATTGGATCAGCCTTCCTTTTTAATATTCGTAGCAGCACCTAAGGTTATGTATGTTTTTAACTTACGGTTAATTGTCAAATTAAGTCTGCTTGATTTCATTTTAACAGAGGCGAAGTTCCGTACTGTCGTGCCAACATTCACTTTTATGTACACGGGTATGGACAGCTTTCAAATTTACTTTTAAATATACACGCACATAATGTCAGAATGTCTTATGCATCTTAAAAATTCCTTAAAGAGAGAGAGAGAGAGAGAGAGAGAGAGAGATAACGAACTTGAGATAACTTATACAAAACGCATACATTGTTAAACATAGTAAACTGACCTCGTCCGTGGTCCTTAGATATGCCAGAGTTCGGTTGGAACCGTTTATAGTTCTGTAACAGAAATGAAGAAGTGTAGTAATATATAAATCTTAAATGTGACCAATGGCGAGCTTGCCTAATGCATAAGTAGCTTACATTTACAACATCATGAGTGACAGTCTTTGATCTCTCAGCAGGAAAGAAAGCATTTTACTAAACATCCCCATTGTGTTTATATATGTGTCACAATTCAGGTGAAATCATACCTTGGAGACGTAAATATGACAATATTTAAATAGACAAGGAAATAAAAAAACTATACATGTGTGTGGGTGAAATACGTGGGTCATAGCAAACTAAGTTTGAAATCCAAACTTGAGGTGTGAGGTGTGTCTGAAATGTAAGGGTTTGATTGGACAACGCTGGATGACGTCAATAACGTGACCTCCACCACGTGTATCGGAGACCGAAACGTCTTCATTGCAAAAAAAAATTGGTAACTTGAACACAAGTAGCTTTAGATCAAGTAAATTTAGGTCCAACTCGTCAAATGCATGACAAAGGTGGTAAAACCGAATAATAATTAAGTAATATCATATAGAAAAGCATCAATTTATTTTCAGAAAGAGTGTCACCACGGAACGTTGCAATAATAATGCTGCACCTTGGTCGACGTGTATTTTCACACGTGCAAAGCTCAGACTGTCAAACTGCCTTGCGCAATCAGACGGAAAAGCCAATGAGAACCATAATTATGCGTGTTAATATAGTATTCAATGTTTGTTAAATCTGGTGTAAGTAAACGTAAAGCCCTTGTTACAGAGAGCCCGCCATCCATAAGATTCATACAGGTTAGAGTTAACGTGACGTAAGTGGGTCAAAATCTAGGACGGGGCTTACCTGTACAAGCCAATAGGAACCGAATCCTGTACCAAGGGGAATCTCTCGTACATGACACCGGCCACATATTTTGCTTTACATAAGGTCATGACATTTTAAAAGGTCAGAGGTTGCAACAATTAGGCATGTGCGACCGGTCAACTAAAGTGGTCGTCTGGGGGAAACATTACATTTCAAATAAAGGGATAGTGTAGAAATTGACGACTGCTTTCCTCTAGCGAAAGTATTGTTTGTTCAGTTAGCTATTTCCGTAAACAGTACCGTTTATCTAAACACATTAAATATGTTTTACAAGCAAAACTAGGCATCTGTTCTTTTTTTTTTTCAAAAACAGAAATTTGACTGAAAATACCCAAAGTCACCCGATCGCCCTCTATCAGCAATCCATAAAATGGGTAGAGTACGAGAGACACGTTCTGTTTCCTATTCCTGTAGACCTCGACCCCGGATTATGGAACGATATTTGACGTTTTTCGGCTTTGCACAGTCTGTGTATAAAAATGAACGTAAACTAACCTCTAATACTTTGCATGTAGCTACGATAGAGCTTTATTTACTATCTTGTAAAGCTTAATCCATATGATTGGGGTTACTTTTGGAGAAAAACGCTTAAATAATGGTTAACTTCGTGTTGTTCTCAAACCTCGGATTATGGAACAAAACCGGAAGTGCGCAGATAACGTTGCGTCAGAGTTTGTTAGATAAGATGCAAGGCAATATGTAGCGCAGGGGGTCTATAAAAGACAATAAAACGGCAAATGCGCATTAAATTGCGAATATCAATGAACATAACAGCAGTTGTTGTTCATATTTAGTTGGTCTTTTACTTTTAAACACAAATATTGCTAAAATATGGAATAGTCCACTCATTTACCACTGCTCGGATTATGGAACAAAACGAGAAGTTGCCGCTACGTCGGAGTATCGAAGCGATATTTAGTAGTCTGGTCATTTAAAATGCAAAATTGAAAATACTGTATTCATTATTATGAAAGAATAATATTGATATTTCTCATTTTAAAACTCATCGATCATTCATTTGGCCAGCCTTCAGGTAACAACACCAGTAATGATTCAAAATAAAATCTTTAATCCATGATAACAAAACTAGCAATTAACATTAACAGCTCACACACCACCAACAAAGAATTTATCGAAAGTGTGACAAATACAATAAAAATAAAAAAATTTAAAAAAAAGACGGAGAACTCATGTAACAGACTAGTGCTGTGACCTAACAAAGAGATGAATGTATTCAGTTTTTTAACATCGCTGACCTTTATAAAATGCATTAAACATTTAACTCCATAAAACGAAATCACTGCAATTTATTCTATTATTATACTGTCTCGCAACTCTGTTCACCATATGGAATAATAATGTGCGTTTGTGTTATGTACGTATGTATGTTTATTTTTACGTTGCGTTGTTTGTAACGCACAAGAACATATCACTTGTAGGCCCATGTACTTTTGCGGTAAAAAAAAAAAAAAAATATATATATATATATATAGGTCCTATATATATATATAAATCTTTAAAAAATGTATAAAACAAAAGAACTCAACCAATGTTGATAAATTCCAGCAGATATAACACAGGAAAACGTCCAAAAATGTAGTGGTTTAAGCGCAAGTGAAATGTTCTTGCGCGTTAAGTCTAGGTCCCAAATACGTTTTGCACGCACGGTTTTTTAGTTCCTTGCGTCCGGCTAGGACGTAGCTAGATCGCACGTAGCGGGTGTGGATCATGTCGAAAAGTTACTATGTGCTGTTTGCGTCTTCCAAAAGTCGCACGATGGATGTGTTCTCACGCACGAACTCCCCAAATTTTTCCCATTTTTTTTGGCCGTAGACCACACGTAGCAGCCCGTACGTTCGGTTGGGACCTAGGCTTTACAAACAACGCAATGTAAAAATTCTTTTTTCTCTCCTCTTCCTTCTTTTCTTTTCTACGTACGTTTCACCTCCAATGCCCTCTGTGCCTTTCGCTCTCGTACCTCAGCCTTCTTCCTCTCCCTCTCCACACCCGCTCTTCTCTTCTCCTCTTTCTCCATTCTTCGCTTAGCGCCATCTTCGGCTTTTCTCATTTTTTCTACAGCTCTTCTTTTCTTTCTTTCTTTCTTTCTTTCAAGTCTTTAAATAATGCTTTCTTATTATCCGATGTCAGAACAAATCTTTATTTGAAGACAAAATTCATTTTCTCATTATTTTTCATTTATTTAGCATGTTTTTTATTTCACTATATTGCACCTATTTATCCTTCCCGGTTTTCTCAGGGTCAACTCGGGATGTCGATTCATGAACCGATCCCACCAGCCGTTCGACGCTGAAAAGCCCATAGGCCTATCCCTTTGTTTTCCCACCGCCAGAGCAAACTTGAAGACTCCAAGTCTTTGGTGAGGGGAAACCCCCAGTCACTCATAATAAGGCAGTAGTGGACTAGAGCTGCCTCATCAGAGTGACTGAGGGCCAACTTCCCATGACCACCTCCCTTGAGAGCACCTGTGGTATATTTAAAAAAATTAGAAGAAGAAGATACTGGATAGAGATAGTTGAAATAAGAAGTTTTAAAGATAAAACTCCCAGAAAAGGCGCAAACCTAGTAGGCCCTAAATGATTCATAGGCCTAAGTCTAATATTTTTTTTCATCACAACAAAGATCAATCATGTGTCATTTGTGTAGGCCTACCTGAAATATGATTTAAAATGATCGTCTTTGGCACCTCAAATAGGCCCTATAGGCCTACGTGCCGCCTCTGATATTGAATAAGAGTGGGCCTATAATTTCCTTTTTGACATGCTGAAATTTATAGAGCATGAAAAAGGTCAGTAACGATTTTTTCTCTCATAATGTCAATACAAAAGTCAACATTAAGTGTTATTTTGTGAGAACAAATTTATTTATTTCACAAGTCGCTTGAGTCTAATAGCGCTCGTAGCGTTCTCTAGCGGCAGTTTACAGTGAGCAGAAAGCACCCACAGCTATGCCCAACATCAAAGCCATTTTTATGAGATCTTGGAATACTTCAACCTCTTGAAAGTGGATGTTTTGAAATTGTTTCATTAAGCCGAAAACAAGAAATACAAACAATAGGCTAAGGGATGAGACAAGTTAGGCTACAATAGGCCTACTTATAGCAGTAAAAGACGGCCGTGTTTACGTCCACAGCGATCGATGTATCTACCCGTAAAAAGTATGAAAAAGTTAGAAATCGAGATCGGAAACTGACAGTAACACGTGCAGACGAAAGCGGACGATAAACGGCTTTAAAACTTGCTTGAATAAACGTAAGTTCATTATTAATTTTATCAAATTTGAGAGCAACGAACTTTCAAACGCTAACACTTCTATTGTATCAGGTCGTAATATGCATCTGCATAGCGCGTTTGATACATTGTAGCAGACGCTTGAAACTTTCGTGGCAACGGGGATTTTTTACGCTCTGCATGCTGGGTAAAAAGGGCAAACTTCCGGTTTTGTTCCATAATCCGGGGTCGTTCCATAATGCGGGGTCGGGGTCTACGCTTTTTCATTGGCCGGGCAGCAATGCAAAGATCANCGGGGTCTATGTCATTACAGTGTAATTATTGTTTTGAATGAAACGTCTCATTCATTTAAAATGAAGAATCCAAATCTTGTATTTAAGAATATTTCATCATCTATGCGCTTCATTTTGGCATTACGCCAACGTGCACAGACTTCTCTATAGTTACCATTGACGAAAGTGAGTACGATTGTGTTATAAAATAAACATGAGTTAGCATCTTTGGTCTGCAAGCAATTTCAACTATTTAAATCCTATAATAAGGCGCAGTAAGCATTAATCCTACATACTAGCTGGTATATCAATTTCTCATTGGGTGACTGGGGCATTATAATTACTGAAGTTGATTTATTCACATTTTTTGACTTAAGACACTGTCCTTCGCTGTTATGTGTTGACATTGAACATAAGTCCAACGGTCACAGTTGCTTGATTTGTTTGATAAATGTATAATAAATAATAAATGAACGTCAAGAATATTAGCTCATTTAAGATACATTATTTCGATATAAACTACTTGTAAATAATGTTACGCATGTGCATTTATTTACACCTTAACACGAACACAAAATCGAATCATTTGGATATATTTTAAAAGAAAAAAATTGCTAAGCACAGATAAACA